TGTGGCCCAATCGGGAAAAAGGATGACGTAACATATAATACAGTTAGGGATGGCATTTCACAGCAGACCGACGATGCATTCTGGAACGCTCCTGATACATTAGCTGCACTTGATGAGGTTATGAATGCAATTGAACAGCGGGACCGCTTCAAGAGGATGCACAATGAGGGGCCCAGTTACAGCTTGGGGTTGGGTTTGACTCCAGATTATGTTGTTGTCGCCGCCGACGTTGATGATGGCGCACGTCAGCGTATGAGTGTGGATAGAGATAAAAACATAGCTGGGACGTCACTTATTGTGGATGCGCAAAGAGGTACCTGCTTTAATAAATGCATACGTACCACTATGGTAGGTGTAGAGTTTGTAGTGCGTTTCTGTAAACATCTTGGCGATGCTGTTTTAATACATTTATTTTTTCATTTACGAAGTTGGCGTTGGTTTGTCTGACAAGACGATGATACTGAAAGTACCTGGGCTAGAAACGGGCAAATGTGCAACTACAGGTACACGTGTAATTGACGTCATTGTTAACGCACAAAATGTGCTTATTTTTTCCTCTTTTGTATCCATGATTTGTTTGTTCATACATATATATTTATATACGTTTCCAATTTTCATTTTTTTTTCAAGACAATGCTGATGTTTTGGATCGTGTCGAGGCTGCAGACAGGACACCGAGGCCGAAAAGGCGTACTAAAATAGATTACTTAGGCATAATTTTTATCTTTCAATTTTCGGCCCAAAATAGATTACTTGGGGCTAAAAATTAAGAAAAACAACAATAATGAAATAAAAAATAGAGGAATATACACCCTATACTATCTAATCTATTTTATATTACATATTTACATTTAATTAATATTTATTTGTAAAGATACAAAATCACTCAATATATTTGCACATATACTTTCATCCTTATCCAAAATCAACCATATTCCAAACCTTACACGTCGTCCTTTCTTCTTCCACCATATTCCCTTTCCACTTTCTTCTTCGTCATTAACAACCATATTTCCCTTCCACTTTTCCCAATGTATTCATATTATTCAATCTAATAATTTCTCAAGAAAAATTGAAACGAAATGGCAAATAAATTGTACCGTCAGTTCTCGTCGTCATTCACAAGGGTTTCCAACCGCGGCTCATTTGCACGATGACTCAACTATTCTAGAATCAGCAGTTAAAGACAAAGGAATCGTAAATATCCAATGCAAAAGGAAAGATCCATGACCAAACTGAGGATGAAAGGAAACGACGCCCAAGTATGAAGAAGACGACGGCTACGAGACGTTCAAAAAACAGACGGGTGAAGATCGAAATTGGAATGAAATTCATGAGAATTATGAACAACTTGACACCTGGATCTGAAATTATTTTCAATATATATTCTGTATATGTTCGGTATATATATATAGAAATTGGATCAAATGAGAATGGGGTATAACAAAAGAATTGAGAATGTCTGTACACTGTTTGACCAAATAAATAAACGATTGAGATGAAGTCAACACTAAATCAACAATATTTGACTCGCGGTGGCATACGCGTAAATAGATCAAAATCAGACGGGGAAATATACAGGTTGGAGGGCATTGTCGTCTTTAACACATTAGCAGAGGGGGTGATGGTTGGAGTTTGGGTCCATTAATTACAACCCACACCTTTAGGTCAGAGATATTGAATGAAGAAGGATCTTGTTGGGCATCTATGGCGGTTTTCTGGATCTTGAGAGGATTTCGAGCTCAAATCATCGCCGGAATATAGCGTAACTGACGCGCATTCACGTGAGTGTTCATTATACCCCATTTCGACGGTTTTAGGAGTAACTGTTCTTCCGTTTCAAACTATGGGAAATTCGCTTCAATCGAGAAAA